CACTTGAGCCACCGCGGCTCCGCACTGTCAGTCTCTAGGAGACGACTAAAGACAGTTTTATTCACGATGGCATTAGATTGGTTCTTCTGCCTAACCAGTATTTTAAAAAAACGGTTGTTCTTAACTGGTGGTTTTTATCTGTTTCGGGTATTGTAATGTATTTGCATGGCAAGCCACCTTGTGTTTCTATAAGGTGGAAAGTTTGAGTCCAGTGGCAACTTTAAGACCAACAAAGTTTGATTCTGGTTATAAGCTTTCATGTGCACACAGTCTGGTGTACTGGTTAAGTGGGTGGCTCTAATCTGGGAGAACCGGGTTGCATTCCCCACTCCTCCACAGGCGGCTGCTGGTGTGACCTTGGGCCAGTCACAAGTTCTCTCAGAGCTGTTCTCTCAAGGGCAGTCCTCCAAAGAGCTCTCTCAGCCCCACCTACCTCACAGGGTGTCTGTTGTGGGGAGGGGGAGGGAAAGGCAATGGTAAGCCACCCTGAGGCTCCTTCGGGTAGCGGAGGGTGGGGTATCAATCCAGTCTCTTCTTCTTCTTAAAGGTGCCACTAGACTCCAACTTCGTTCTCTTGCTTCAGAACCACACAGCTACCAACCTGAATCTGCAAGGCAGAAAGGCGACTAAAGAATGTTTTAAATAAATTAAAGATGCTCCGAGGCCTAGAAACCTGTTCCCTTTTTAGAAACAAAATTTTTGCCCAGTGCCACATTCTGCAAGGAGTTCATGTTCCCACAGGATTCCGACAGACCTGCTTAGAGCCAATTTGAGGTCCATTTATTTCTCTTTCTTTCCCCTTTTATGTTTTCCCCACAGGAAACTGGATCTCTACTCCATGGTCTGGGATGTGAGAGAGGAAAGCCTGCGGGAGTGTTTGGTAGCCGCTGCACCTTACGGGGGACCCATTGGTATGACCACGTTGGCGGGTCTGTTCGAAAAGAGGGAGGGAGGGGGGGAGAGAGAGAATTTAATCAGCTGCTTCTATAGTTCTGAAGGGTTTAGACTCCTGGTGGTGACTGGAGATCTTTTCCTGGATTTGGAGAAAGTTTCTCCCTCTCCCAAAATTTCTACAACTTGAGGGAATCCAATGAAGCTGATGGGCAGTAGGTTCAGGAGGGACAAAAGGAAATTCTTCTTTGCATAGGGAGTGATTCACATGTGGAATCCACTGACAGAGGATGTAGAGACGGCCACAGGAATGACCCGCTCGAAAAGGGGATTTGAGAGATTCATGGAGGAGAAGTCTGTCGGTGGCTACTAGCCATGGTGACTGAGGGGAACCTCCACATTCAATGGTAGTCATCAGGGGAAGGCCTCGGCCTCCATGCCTTGTTGTTGGCCCTCCAGAGGAACTGGTTGGCCACTGTGTGAGAGAGGAGGCTGGACCGGATGGACCCTCCCAGGTCTGTTCCAGCAGGGCTCATCTGAGGTTCTTATCAGGGGAAGGCCTCAGCCTCTCTGCCCTGGTTGGCCAGTGAGTAACTCAGGAGGATGCAGGACTAGATGGACCACTGGCCTGATCCAGCAGGGTCTTGTGATGTTCTTATCAGGGGAAGGCCAAGGACTCTCTGCCATGTTGCTGGCCCTCCAGAGGAACTGGTTGGCCACTGGGTGAGGCAGGAGACTGGACTAGATGCGCCCTCACTGGTCTGATCCAACAGGGCTCTTCTGAGGTTCTTATCAGGGGAAGGCCTCAGCCTCCCTGCCCTGTTGTTGGCCCTCCAGAGGAACTGGGTGGCCCCTGTGTGAGACGGGAGGCTGGACTGGATGGACCCTCACTGGTCTGATCCAGCAAGGCACTTATGTTCTTATTACAACTCGTCTCCAGGCGACAGAGATTAGCTCCCCTGGAGAAAATGGCTGTTTTGGAAGGCGGACTCTATGGCACTGTTTAAGTTACCTGCAGAAAATATCGGCTGGATATTAGGGGAAAAATTTTTCACGGTCAGAGTGGTTCAGAGTGTTAAGTATGGAACTCAACGCCGTCTCGTAAGTAACAGTGAATCAGCTTTATTGAATTAACAGGAGCAACAGGAGAACACACCACAGCAAGCAGTGGAGCATAGCTCCTATTTAAACTATCCCGGGCAGGTGTAGCCACGCCCTAGAACAGTTAAGGACCAATTACATTACAGGGATAACTACCAATCAGATTCGTTCCCTCCTGAACATTTCTCTGCATTCTGATTGGGGTACATTCATACATCAGCCAATAGGATTGTTCCGTCTTACAATCCTGTCTCGGTCTTGAGCTTAACATGTAATGGTATACGGATAAGACATACCTTCACTGACAGCTTTCAAGAAAAAGCTGGACGAATATTTGTCAGAGATGCTCTAGGCTTGTTCTGCACCGGGCAGGGGGTTGGACTAGATGGCCTCTGAGGCCCCTTCCAACTCTGTGATTGTATAGTAAGCATGCCAGGAAGAGGGATGAGAAGCGGAGAGGGCCAGGGAAATGGCTGACTAGAACGCCTTTTTTTTTCTTTTAGCCCTGCTGAAACCCAAGAAAGACAAATCGCCCGGTGCCCGGCCGGAGCTGCACATCTATTCTGCTTCGGGGGTCCGCTTGGCCAGCACTCTGGTGAGCAGGGTTCCCAACCTCCAGGTGGGGCCTGGAGGTCTCTCGGAATGACGACGGCTCCCCAGACAACCGAGATCGGTTCCCCTGTGGAGCATGGCTGCTTTGCAGTGTGGTCTGTCTTCCCGAAACCCCTCCCTCCCTAGTTTCCACCCCTCAAATGCCCCGGAGCCGGAGACCCTAGTGGTGAGAGAAGCCCCCAACCCATTGCAGCTGACGTGAGGCTCCATTGAAGTAACAGAAGCTTCCTTTCGCATTCTTAACTACATTCTTAACTAACTAGGTTGCGTTCAAACATCAGTAAAAGAGTCCTTGTTTCAAAGGCTGAAATGCAAATGCTCTGGTTAAATAGAAGTCGTTTCCATGTCCAGAAGTCACTGCAAAGGGCCTAGCCCAGGGGTGTCAAACATGCAGCCCGGGGGCCAGATCAGGCCCGCAGTGGGACTGGCCATTTCCTGCTCCCAGTTCTGCTGCTGCTGCTGCATCATAGCTTGCTTTGCCAGACTCTCTCAATCGCTCAGCCATTTCATGTTTTAACCTGGGTCCTAGACTCAGAACTCTGAGCATGAGATTTCTGTGGCGAACGTCAATCAATCAAAATGAGGTTTGCAGCTCACAGATACACACTTGAACAGCATACTCAAGATGGCAACAGCACAGACATTTGGATGCAATAATTCGAAGCGACTGGTGTCAGTTATCAGGTGCTATTAAATAAACAAAGTATTGCAAGAGTGCTAATGTTTTAAGCATGCTTTTGAGTTAAAAAAAACCATCTTTGTGTTTGTGTCCTTTATAAAGTTTATCTCTCCGCTACCCGGCATTACATTTTATGACACACATGGCCCGGCCCAACAAGGTCTCATTTATGTCAGATCTGGCCCTCGTAACAAATGAGTTCAACACCCTTGGGCTAGCTGGAGTTCATGCCTGGGAAACATCTTCGGTGTTGGTCCCGCACTGCCCGTTGAAACCAGACGTGCAGCGCAGTGGCTAATGCGGTGCTCTCTCGCTGTTGTTCCTAGTGGAAGAACTGTCCGGCGGTGCATCTGGGTTGGACGGCCAGTGAAGATCTCCTCTGTATTCAGGAAGATGGCTCGGTTCTCGTCTACAGTATCTTCTGCGAGTTCAAGCGCTGCTTCCGAATGGGCAATGTGAGTAGCGCGTGTATGCGCGTGGGCATGGGGAGGGACAACATCAACCCAGCTTGCCGTCTCTTCGTTTTGGCTTAAGTTAAAGGTAGTACTGTCCATGCTGCAGAAGAGCTGTTTCAACAGTATGTCTGCTTTCATTCAAAAGCCAGTGCCAGGTGTAATGATTTCTCGTTTTGGTGTGTGTGTTTCTTTAAATGTTTAGTTTGACTGCAGTACTGTAAGAAGAGTGATAGAGGGAGGTAAGTTTGATGTGATTGGCTGATGACTGAGAGTGTGGGAGGAGGGGTGTCTAAGAGAGTGATTCTGTGTGTGAAGTTTGAAGAGAGAGCATAGTTTTTGAGTCTATTCTGTGTGAATAAGACAAAGAGTTCAGCCTGTGTGGCTATATAGATGAGAGAGATTAGACTGAGTGTCTACGCCTGTCAGAGTGGAGTTTTGGGAGTTTCAGTGACTGTGACACCAAGCTTTGCCAGTTATATTAACAAGTTCCTTTCATCATCAGCAGTTCAAAATAACCAGAAACCTCTTTTGTTCTTTATTAAATAAATCATTTTTTTGTTTCAACTTATCTCAGAAATCAGAACAGTCCTTCCTCAGGGCCACAGAGTCCTCTGAAGTGCCCAGACCCTGGGTCATTCTACCAAAGGGAGAGAGAATTGGAATTTTTAATTCCTGGTGGCAGCGGAAAACTACCAAGTTTATGTACTCAATGAGTGTTTAAAGGGAAAACAGTCTCCCCTATAAGCAAGGACGCCACACAAGGTTCTAGTCCTTGTGGTGTTTGAGTGAGAATTTGCAGTCAAGTCTTGCTGAAGATTAGGGAAACTAATGGGGACTTTGTTTGGGGTTATTTTCAACATCCAGGGAAGATCTTCTCTCACCGTTTCTGGCCCCAGCTGTTCAAAGTGGGTTTTGATCAAATGCAATGTAATGTTGAGTTTTGTCAATGCCACTTTTGCAAAACTGTTTTAAAACAGATGCACATAATGTATTTAAAACGTGTATCAGCCGTCTTTCTACTCTGCAGAACCTGAGGTGGCTTGCGGTTTAATTAAGACAATGATTATAAAACACATAAAATACGACAATTTGAAATCTGAATGAGGACCGCCAATAACATTATACATGGAGTGGAGAGACTTGACAAAGAGAAATTTTTCTCCCTCTCCCAAAGCAGTAGAACTTAAGGGCATCCGGTGATGGGCAGTAAGTTCAGCGACGGGCAAAAGGAAATACTACTTTACACAGAAAGTGATTCAGATGTGGAATTCGCCGCCAGAGGATGTCATGATGGCCACTGGAATAAGCTGCTTTAAAAGGGGATTAGGTAGATTCATGGAGAAAAGGATCAGTGGGTATGAGCCATGGCACTAATCCTCTGAATCCCAGAGCCAGGAGGCAACATCAGGGGAAGGCCTCGGCCTCTCTGCCCTGCAGTTGGCCCTCCAGAGGACCTGGTTGGCCCCTGTGTGAGACGGGATGCTGGACTTGATGGACCACTGGTCTGATCCAGCAGGGCTCTTCATAGGTTCTTATCAGGGGAAGGCCTCGGCCTCTCTGCCCTGTTGTTAGCCCTCCAGAGGAACTGGGTGGCCCCTGTGTGAGATGGGATGCTGGACTACAGGGACCCTCAATGGTCTGATCCAGCAGAGCTCTTCTGAGGTTCTTAGGGGAAGGCCTCAACCTCTCTGCCCTGTTGCTGGCCCACCAGAAGAACTGGCTGGCCACTTTGTGAGACAGGAGGCTGGACTAGATGGACCCTCACTAGTCTGATCCAGCAGGGCTCTTCTGAGGTTCCTATCAGGGGAAGGCCTCGGCCTCTCTGCCCTGTTGTTGGCCCTCCAGAGGAACTGGCTGGCCCCTGTGTGAGGCAGGATGCTGGACTAGGTGGACCCTCCCTGGTCTGATCCAGCAGGGCTCTCCTGATGTTCTTATCAGGGGAAGGCCTCAGCCTCTCCGCCCTGTTGTTGGCCCTCTGGAGGAACTTTTTGGCCACTGTGTGGGACAGGAGGCTGGACTGGATGGACCACTGGTTGACCCAGCTGGGCTCCTCTGATGTTCAAATAAATAAGTACTAAATTAATCAAATGCAGTCCTAAGTAAAAGTGTCTTCAGCTGCTTGCTGAAGATTGAAAGTGAGGGGGTCAGGTGATCTCCCTTGGGGGGGTTTTTCCATAATCACGGGGCTGCCACCAAAGAGGCCCTGTCTCCAGTGCCGCCAGACTGCTTTCTTTGGTTGTTGGGGCAGCCAAAAGGGTAGCTGGTTTTATTTATTTAAAACATTTCTCAGCTGCCTTTTTCTGGCAAAAGGGCCCAGTCAACCACTCTCTGAAATTCTCTTATCTCTTTGGAACATTCGGGTGCTGCCCCGCAGGGTTCCTGTGATGGCAAGCACCTGGGAAGCCCTGGAAATCAGTGAGCTCTTCTCTGACGTGTCTCCCTCCGTCCCTCAGGAGGTGCTGCAGAACCACGTGGTGGAGGCCAAAGTCTTCCACACAGAGTACGGGACCGGGGTGGCCATCCTCACGGGGGCAAACAGGTTCATCCTGGCCACCAACGTTGACGATTTGAAGCTCCGGAGGATGCCTGAAGTGCCCGGTGAGTCGGCCCCGCTTCTTGTCACCTTTGCCTCATGCCCGTCCCAACTCAGGACTTGATACTTTTGTTTCTGCACTCGGTTCTTCTGTGTTAAAGAAAAATCTCAGGCTTCTAAATCTTCTTCCCTCCATCCCTTCCTCCCTTCCTCCCTTCTTTAGTGTTCAGAGTGGTATACTAAGCCTCCCTCCCTCTCTTTCTTTCTTTCCTCTCACTTTAATCCTTCCCTCCCTCCCTCCCTCCCTCCCTCCCTCCCTCCCTCCCT